GAACCAATGACGGCAAAAACAGTAAGACCCTGAAAACCCCTTCATTTTTAAATTTGTAAAATCACCACCTGCTTCAGCACATTAGCACTGTGACCAGTTTCAAAAGAGTAATTATATTTTTCGACATATAAGTACCCAGCAGACATTTCCTATTTGAATATTATTTTCAGTAATCTCCATACAGAGACTAAAACTGGCAATGATTTGCCTCTACCCATGTTTAATGTCTGTCCGTCCTGGATTATCTTATTCATCTGTGCTATAGACCTCCCCCGTTGTTCAAAAACACATCAATGAAACACACCATTGCACTTGGTGACACATTCCTTTGTTAGCAAACACCAGACCCGAGTGTGAGTAGCTAGCAGAGTGTAAACAAAACTGAGGGCTCCCACAAAGTCTCGTGCATGCACAGTTGACTTCAGGAAATTATGGCCTCATGGAGCCTTGGGGGCAGCATAGTTGGTTCTGGTGTTTCAAAAAGAAATGGTTTGCCCAGTGCAGCAGTGTGTTTCCTTGATGTGTTTTTAACTTATTTTGAACAGTGGAGATCTATCGTACAGACAAACAAGCTATCACAGGACTGACAGACTGACATACAGTGGGTAGAAGTAATTCACTGTTGACTTTAGTTCCTGTATGAAGATTGCTAAAATAATAATATAGACAAATCCTTATCTTTTAGTGAATAAATATTTGTACATTTGTATTGAAAAAAATAAATTTTCCATTTGTGCTTACTTGAAAGCACCTCAGACTTCAATTTTATTCAAAGGGAAAATATTGATAAGCCACCACAAACCCAGAGTATTTTACTGTTAGTCTTTTCCAACACTTCAGATCTGTCCTGTAATCCTTTTGGACTACTGAGCAGCACACAACACCATCACACTGGTCTAGAACAACAGGAAAGCTGACTAAGAATGACATCAGGCATCGCTGTGGTGCTACAGCAGCTCACAAGCTTTACAATCACAGAGATGGGAAGGGTGAAAAGCACAGGTATAGTAGTCGTCTCATTCTAAGACGCAAAGAAAATACAAAAAGGTAGGTGATAGAAAAAGAGTATGCTACAGACAGCATCAAGAAAACACCCTTCGATTAACAAATTTTTATTTATGAATTACAGACATGTATGACCTAAACTTGTGTGGAGCATATGTTCTGTCTAGTCTGCCACAACACTTACATTTTAGAAGGTGACAAGCTCCTACACAAACTCAGTCAGCTATAAACTTCAGTTTTTCCATTCCAGTGGCATCAGTACATAGAGTGATGCTGTTGAAACTACACTGGAGATGTGAAAAGCACTAGAGTGATGCTTCAACCTAGTTAACCCATAGGCCTTTTATGGTACAAAACAACCCTGTTCCCAGGCAGTGTGACTAATTCTGGAAAAGCCTCAATTAAGTTGACTTGTAGGGCTTTTGAACATTCTTTACAAATGTTTATTAAATTTAATTAGTCTACAATATCCATGCATGTAGTTTAAACATCCATGCAGCCCACAGTATAATCATGGTTAGTTAAATAAAACACTTGGTCATGATTATCAATTAATCATGGTTATGGATTAAAATCAGTCAAAATTAAGTTGAGTCCTTCAATGTGATGCAAATTTTGGTGTGCGGTATGAGACACCCACTAACTTGTCCATTCGCCACACCTTTAAGGCATTGGTGAACTCCAACCAGTTCTTATCAGAAGGTCAAACACTGTCTGAACCCTTTGCTTCAGACTAAAGTAGTTGCCAAATATCTTATTGTGCTATCTACTGTGCACTTTGGTTGACTGAGAACCAAACATTAATGATGTGCAAATGTAAAGTGCCTTTTGAACATTTCACTTTGCTGCCATTTCAAGTGGACCTGTGTACTCTGAACTCCATAGCAGTGGATAATAAGTGAAACTATAGCTCAGTGGTCCATTAGGTAATTAAGCTTTTTAGGAGACAGCCTCCACTGTACTGCGTAGGCTTCTAAAGTGTCGGGTTAGCAAGGTTAATGGGAAATGGCTGTGTTGAGACGCAGGTGAGCTGGTTGTCAGTCACTCAGTTTTCTATTCCAGGCATACAAGGACACTGACACCTACACATTTTCTTGTGGTGTAACATACTACTCATGTGTCAATCCCTCACTTTCACTGGTCCACACAGCCCTGTGGCTCTTGCTTGAACAGCAAGCCAATGGGTAACCAGTGACCCACGTACGCATACTCTGCTCAATCAGTAGCACTGGCAGTTAAGACAGGTTCATAAGATCCCTCTGTGTGACACACACACACATACACACTGTGAAAATCATGGCTGTAGTCATGAAGTCAACACTGGGGGATTCATGTCAGCCCCCAGCAACAACTGACAGTGATATAACCTATATAACACTTCATTACTTACATTAGCAAGTAATGAAATAGAGGGACAGTACAGTGTTAAATGCTGTCTCTCCATCTAATATCAAACTTTGACTGTTTGATATTAATTGTACCTACCAACCGCAGCCATGCCAAAGATCTTGAAATACTAAATCCTCAATCCTCTCTGGTCAAGCAACAGCTTAGGCAGATAACTGGTGCATAATACCAGAACTAGTAATAATAACTAAGGGCTGTTTGTTAAGTTTAGTTATGATTATAATTACATTTGCTAATGATTAATTCGGAGGGTGGTGTGTCGTTGCCTGTTATAGCAGAGCAAATTGTTTTTACTAATAGTTTTTATGTTGGGTGCCCCCAGTATAATATAAATCTTATTCCAATAGAAATCTTATTCCACCCTTTATACTGTAGTTACTCTGATGTGTTACTCTATTTACCTTTTCTCAAACTCTGAATAAGGGAGGACTTACTTTTTATTCATGTCTGTATTTTGCACTCATTCAATGGCTGAACAAACAATGTTTCTTAATTTTACTGCTTTACCAAACTACCCCTGAAGACATTACTCAAGATCAATTACCTCTGACCTTGACTTTCTTCATCAAATCCAGCAGCTTTCCGTTACTCTGAACACAGCAGGTGATATCATACAGTATTGCTACTCATTGCCATAAAGCAAGGTGAATAGATATGAGTAAACATACAAGCTAGTTAATGTGCTGTGATTAATTAGCCCTTTACTGTCGGTCTGAATGGGAAACAGATCTCAAGCTAATTATGAAAAGAATCTCATTAGCATGGTAGCAGTAAGCTCACTACGGTGTGTAGGTGGAGAAGCATGACCACTGCAATGAGTTTATTTACAAGAAAGGAATAAGATGTTTTTGTTAATGGTTGTTAAGTTAATGGATTACTACAGTATTCTGTGTCTTAAAACATGGTAATGTTGACAAGGCAAAGCTAACGATCTCATGCTGATTATGACATCTTTGGATGTCACAGTGAATCGTAGTGAATCAGTTACATGCTCTGACAATGCTCCTACTATATTCAAACTCAGTGTCTTACAACTGTATCATCTGATGCTTGAGGAAAAGCATCACACATTATGCAAAAAGTCCCATAGTGATCCTGTAAACATGGAGTGAATTTGTCTTCTCAAGTCCCTTTTTTCCCCAATCTATTGCAATCGAAAAAAAACATAGGTGTGAAGTTAAAGGAGCTTTCTAATGAGCTATCCTTTATGCCTTTACAGCTTACTTTATGAGATGAATGAAATGTTTG